AGCTACTGGAAAACCCCATAGGCCTTGTTGGTATGCAAAGTAACTTTATCTGTGAGTTGACCACCAAAGGTTACACAGCTACCGACGTAGGTGAACCGACCCACCACTTCCAGTGGCCGTTCGGTACCAGCTAGAACCGGTATCATATCGGAGCAGACATGCAACAGTAATTTGCAATTCAAACGTGCGAGGCACATGCCGAAGCATGTAGCTCTACGCGTCAGTCTATCCAGTGGTGTTTGCATAATCACTACATCAGATACAAGGAGAGATGTGTGGTTCGCATACTTACGGTTTTTCCGTCGGTCACCTGACAGAACAACCACGCTTAAAGAACGGAGTCATTCATTACCATTTCAATCACAATGTTAAAAAGGAATGTAATATATGACAGCGCTGTTGAACCCAAGTTGTCGTGAAGAACTCAGGAGACATGTTTCCTCAGACCGTTTCCCGGCATCGGGAACCACGGTGGATTAGGCAGTATACCAACTTCTAGTTTCGTTCACTGTTTCGATTCACTGTCTGCCCTCGACAGCACGCCGAGTCTGCTCGGAAAACACCCTGGATGTAGAATTGATGCTCATACGGAATACGTTGCGTGAAAATGGACATCCAGACGGAAGGAAAAGAGATAGAAGGGTACTTATGAACTTAATTGTCGTGGCGTTTCCAAGAAACAACTTCCCGTAAACCCTTGACTTACCTCGGGAGACACGGTAGCGTGATTTCAGTATGGAAAGTCGTTTCTTGTTACGCGGTTCAAGGACAGGAAGTGCTACAAGTTGGCTCGATTAACAGAGTCGAAGACGAATTTCAGGTCAAGGAAAGCCACTCTAGTCGGAAGTCTGTAAGTGTTTTTGTCCTAACAATCGATGACGAATAAATGGATCGTCGATGCCTGGCTCTCAATAATTCGACACACAAAACCGGTAATTAGTCAAAGAACGATATCAGTGAAAAGTTTAAGGCAGTGGAAATAAGACTATTGTCTCGTTGATTCTTCCACAAAGTACGGTGACCATTCTGGTAGCCGTGCACCACAGTTGAAAGTCTCCAGCTTGAAGGCACCTCTTCACTGTCCTAGCTAGTGTTGAATAGAGCAGCAAGTTTAGTCAACAGAGTCATTTCCATTTTTCTGTGAAGATGTAGGACAGCCGTCGGATCCCATAGGTTTGTTTAATTTCTACACGGTAAGCCCAATTTCTATCTCTTCCAAATAGGGATGTGTGACATCAACTTCCCACCTCTGCTCAGGTGATCCATCAAACGGTGCTGTCGCAGCAGGCCTGCTGCATTGCTCCCTGCGATGTTCCAGGCAACGGGTTAGACGATGTGGCTGAAAATGGATCAAATGTCTATATCTCTCAGCTGTTGTCTCACTAACTGATGGCCTTCTTGCACACGTGTTCCGGATGAACTAGAGCAGCATTGGACTGAAATTTAGTGTCCAGTGAACCTGCTTGAGTTCTTCGACTAAACTGATTGATGCCTCGGAGATAGATATACAGTTCAGACATCTCACGTTGGGCATACAGTAGGCACACTTGAGGCGATTCCGGTTAGCACTCGGTTCATCAACCCCATACACCAGAAGCGACCAGTAGGCCAATTCGTCAGGATACTGTTGAACTACAGACTACCAGTTCGAATTACGATTGAGAAGGTTAGAAGTTAGACTGTTTGTTGAAACGGGGAGAGTGACGACTAGGTTTACACGTAATAAAGGTTGGCCGGACTCCAAGCACATACTAAGTATTGACTGACAGACTTGAACCGATGTGCGCTGTCTACAACTAGTAGCAACAAAGTCAGTTTGGATCCAGGCTATCGATGGATTTGGTGGGCACCAGGGAACGCGATCTTAGCGTTCGTGCTGGAAAGCAGTGCTGCTAAGATAAAGACTGTGTTCAACACATATTTCAGGGATCGGTCAACACTCTGTTCTACGCACACGAAGCTCGAAGGAAGTTCCCAGGTGTTGTTTTGAGCTCCAAAAGGCGACCCATGGATGAATTCGTGCGATTAGCTGCAATTATGATACCAGTAGTCTCTGTCATTTAGGTAAGAGATAGTAGCCACCGATAGAACAGCTCTTTGATACCCCTAGCTGTGGTAAGTGAAACTCCACCGCTACCATGTGTTCGTTGAACCACTGGCAAATAAGTTAGCAGAACCACACAATCCATTTGACTATCTCCTCGGTCGTAAGTCCGCTCCCGTTTTATCTGCTTGCGTATCTATCAACTACTTGTGAAACCACTGACAAGTTGATGGGAAGTACTCTCTGGTCCTCTGATTACGACTTCAACCCAATGTGTCCACCAATGCTTCGCTTCTAGTTTACTTGGTTTTCTCATTCGCTGAGGAAACAACCGTCACATTGATAGCACTGATATGATTGTCACTCAGGCTTAGTTTAACGTGTCTTGAACATCACGTTTCCCTTCTCCTAACTCGGTCATCTGCCTAACCCAATTTCCAAACACTTGGTCTATCAAGTTAATGTTCTGCGCCACGTTTCTCAACATACAACCCAATCGTCTTGATACCGCATCATGCCTACTAGTCACAAACGCCACTACCAAGATCGATTTAGAACGTATTGTTGAAATATCTCCCATTGGTTAGGCTGCGTTAACGTGTACTAAACTGCAACTATCTAAACCCATTCCGCTCCGTCTGGTACACATGAATTCTGTAACTCTGCTATATCATGCACATCTCATTCATAGTATCGGTTTCGCGCTTTTTTATTAATGCTTTTGTAGTGTTTGAATCCCTTTATGCTTACTACCTTTCAACCTTTTACGGCGTTGGAGACCACAATTTGTGCGGCGTTATAAAATGATTTGGTATTTGGAACTAAACTCATCGCAATACGTACAATAGAACTATGGTTTCTAACGGGTACAAAAGCACAGGCTTAAGATGTCCGGTAGGTTGGCAATAGTCGTCAGTATACACGTTAGCTAGAGGTGGAGAAAGCCTTAACTACTGTGCCTCAATACATAGAAGAAAAAATAACATGCAACAGATGCACGCCAGCCGAGCTACCGGTAATGGATGGGCATCGTTCCGGAAAGCTACCAGCTAGCCAATATACAGCAAAAATAATATTATGCCAAATCATTTTGCTAAGCAATGCGGGCGTGCTTGGAGGGGAGACTAAGATGGATGGAGAGGGACAAAGAAACACAGCACGAACGCCACAGTTGTCGGTTCCTAGCCATGTCATCAATTGTATCCAGGTTGGCAATAGAAGAAACTGAGATTTAACTATTACATAAGTAGACTACATGAAATGCGCATGGGCAAGGCGATAGAGTAAATGTGTTAACAGGAATGGTTATGGATGAGATAGTACAGGCAAAATCAAATAAAGTTGTAATGATTAATACTCAAAGCAAGTAAAGGCAGTTTGCTCACCCCTCTGCACAAACTTACGTGCGTCACTGGGGTCGTAATTCCAAAGTGGCTAGTTAGGCAGAATAAATCCAAAATACCATTCAAGTAACAAAGTGTAGAGCGTTCAACTCTATATCCAATCGTGTTTTGAATACACCTAAGGTGGGAGCGTAGACAACTGAGTTTGCAAGGGCGTTCCAGGGTTGACAGATCTAGAAGAGAGAAGTGGTTTCGTCGACAATCGAGACGACTGTGTTGTTGACTCAGTTTCAGGCTACTGCCTCTGAGGTTGGTGTTCAGGCTGTTTCAGCAGGTGGCGGCGTACGTGAGTGGTGCCGCTCAGTATCTGAGGGACAAATATATTGCCTCCACGTAACCATGTAGCAGCAGTTCTGGAGGAATCCTATACAAAAGGAACAGACCGGGTTCCCTGAACCGTGTTCCAACTTTTTATGAAATATACTATTTATTATTATGAAAAGTCCTCTTATCTTCATACGGCGTTTATTTATCCCCAAAATGATCTGAATTCAAATCACACAAGTACGGCTCTTCACTAGCATCCAGGCGAGTAGGTTGCCCTCGGCTTGTACACAAATTTCTTCTTGAGCTGAGCGTATCCGGGCTCAGATTAATACCTCCAATATAAATTCATACAAATCAATTGCTTCATATATCTGGCACCTAGTAGAGCGGTAGCGTCACACAGACTCCCATCGCAACCGAATTATATTTCATCTTGACGTCGGCCCTGAGATGGTCAGGCCTAGTGCATTGAAGCCGTTCTAAATGTACACATCCATGGATCAAAATGCAGTTCTGATTTGTTCTGAGTATTCCGATGTATTCATACTTAGTATCATTTTATTATCTGTTTCTTGCTACCTTCAAAGTTGTCAAGGCGGTGCACCCATGAAGGTAGAGTATACGGCTGTAACACACGTCTCTGAGTGACAAATAGCGCAACATTATTTTACAATTGGATCGATACACAATCACTGTCGTTGAAAACTGGTTGACAGAGCTAATCTCACTGAAGCAATTTAATAACCAGTCCTTGAGTGACTGCAAATTTATCATTCTAAAACATGACAAGAAAGAAAGTGCAGATGGCCATAAGCCCTTGTAAAGGCGTATGTAGTTTTTCAGCTCCGTGTAGTCAAAGAAGTTGATACGCATTGGGATTAGGCCCTGCGGAAGAAGTGCATTGCATGAGTGAGTATTTCAAATGTATGCTTGTTACAGGAGCTGACACTGCTGGATACAATGAAGTTACCAAGTTCCAGCTTTGGAAGGCCACTACACCAATGAAACAGTCGTGTAATGACCAGTTCAGTGGGTTCCGTTCTACTTCGGATTAACCTCACTCGCAACAAGCATGCGTAATTGCTTAGCCTACTGATTGACTAATATGTATACCAGTTGCAATTTGCGAAGCTATTCCACCTACACGTTACATCGGTGCTCAGTCAGCAGTGCAGTCGTCGAATTTTTTAAGACCCTATCGCTTTCGATACCTTGCTTATTATTGACAATTCAACGGCTTTAAACTATACCTTTAATCCAACTTTTTGCGCATTTTTGATTTTCAGTCACAGCCATGTCCTCACCCTGACAAGAATCCAAGTGAGTATTTGGGGGATTTCTCGTGTGTTTTTTTCGCTTCTAAGTACAATTTGTTCGGCTTTTTGATGCATACGGTTCTTAACGCGGTGGACGAATGTGATTCAGCTCAAAAGGCGACCGCTTTTTGTGTCTTGCGCTTTTGCCGGCCGGTGTCCGAAAGGACAAGGCCTTTGTCTCGCAACCCGGATGTCACCGGTCCGAGCATGCCTAAGGGACCGGGTGACACTCACAGTATCCTTAGCCTACGCGCCAATACTGGTGGTTTCGTGAGAGCGAAGCATCGGTCCGGCGTACCAGCGCACTGTTAATGCCTTCTTTATACTCCTGTTATTTCAACGGCCCTATGCTATTCCAGAGATACCACAACTCGCCGCATTTTCAAGTTGGCATAAATGCGATGGTAGTGTAATGCCACCACCACCCAGCCCAACATACAGCGACCGCTGGAGACGACATTTCGCGGTCTATTGTCGAATCGAGGTTTTGTGTACGTTCGTCACAGTTAGACACAGGCAGACAGCCACCACACATCCAGAAAAGCGTTAGACGGCCTTTTCGGCCTGGGACTCGTCAGTATCCCGCACCCGCCGAATCCTGCCGGATTCGGACCCACGACCTTATTCTTACGAGTCAGCCACTTATGTCACTGAGCCATGGGCGACTTGCAAGGGAAGTCGTTGCTCTGGGAGCCAGCCCTGTCCTCTGCATATGCCGAACATGCAAGACAGTGGAGGATGAGCCGCGCTATATCGCAGTTAGATATCAGTCATGGCGGTCCACTGCCGTCGCCCATGGCTCAGTGACATAAGTCGCTGACTCGCAAGAGTAAGATCGTGGGTTCGAATCCGGTAGGATTCGGCGGTTGCGCGCTACTGACGAGTCCCAGGACGAAACGGCCGTCTAGCGCTTTCCTGGGTGTGTGGTGGCTGTCTGCCTGTGTCTAACTGCGACGAATGTACACAACACCTAATAAATCCCCCTACAACTTACGAATCGAAGTTTTGTCAACTACGGTGTACGTTAAGCTCACTACCAATGTGGCGCCTGTTTCTGATATTGGTCAACCACTTGCTCTTTTGGGGTCTTCGAATTTCACATTCTCACTGATAATGTCAACATACTGCCCAAGATTGATTCATAATCATCCTGGGTTACGCCAACCAGCTCTAAATAACGACCATGGATAGTAGGCAGTGTGCCTACTTTAGTTTAGCGTAGATGGACTTAGGCTGACTTGGGTATGTATTTGGCCTGATGGCATACATATGCTTAGAGGCTACGTCTTGGAGAAAGACCTTACAGTACCAGTCCGGGAGAGTCCCGATGATCCAGAGCAACCCATAACCATACCATATACCGGAAACAAACATCTTGGTCTCTTATGAACAGTGTCCGAGCGCCTTAAACCATCCGCCCCCTTACTACCGCTTAACACCTCTGCCCCATATGGAAGTTTCCATCCAGAGTTGGCGGGTCTGGTAATAACATAGTGTCACTAAGCTCGAGATACTTCAGTGAATAATGTATTCAAACATTTGGAACTTGCTCCGCTTCCAGCACCGAATTGGACCATAGGGTCTAGGCCCTTGTGGCGGATGGTATTTGGGTCCACGAGGTGTTCTCTTACTGACATACCAGGTCCCCAATGCAACTGAACACGTTTGCCACAGCCTAAAATTGGCAAGTCCATGTTATTTGTTGGAATATCACCTGAACCCATACTATCTCTAAATGCGTCAACCGTTGCGTAAACATTCACTTGACTGGTCGCATAGTAAACGTGCTCTCCTCTGTCACAGAGTTTCATGTCTTCCTCTCCACCTAACACAGTCATCATACACTCATTCGAATCGGATTTACTCCCCGTGTTCAGTGGGCCTATTTTTACGGAATTATTTCCTACGGAAAGTGATTTGTAGTACCCAAGCTGTTTTTGCGCGCTTCATGCTTTGATCCAGACGTGCCACACCGTTGTTTTTTAACAGTTTCCACTGCTCGGACACTGTGGTCGATCAAGGATTCTCAGCGTTATCCATTGGTCCTGGAATTGCATCCATAGGATCATTTCTAATGAAGCTATGACTCTATCCGTGGTTTCGATTGTATTAGCCCATCGCTGGCACTTTTCGCTGTCATCCATCCACTACAAGCCATTTCCAACGGCTTTGTCCTGCAGGAACCAGTGTGGATCAATAGGCTAGCCAAACCTCGTATACGTGTGCCTTCACCCACGGTAACCGACTTCGAGAGTGCAGTTGGGACGAAGAACGCGAGAGTCACTCGCCCTGTACCTCACATGACCAGACAAGGGCAGCTTTCGTTTGCAACTACGGTTCTCAACGGTACTGATTCCACCTAACCGCAAATGTGGTAAGCAAAAGTACACGCACCAAATCAAACTAGGCATTACTTGTAAGTTTTGCGGCCTTCCGTTCCACCCTCTGTGCTGGTTTAAGTCAACCACATTATAAGAGACAAATCAACCTGACTGACTCACTCTTGTTTTGCCAAACATGCAGAGCAATCCCAATAGTCAAATGCATAATATCGCCCGTGAAATAGTGTGAACCGCTGACTGAAATAGTCCAGCAGATGGCGAGCTTCAGGGCTTTGCCATTAGAATCTAACAACACCAATCTTGCTCTACACTGAACCCCTTAGATCTCTGTTCCTAAATCGAAGGCTAAAGCCAGGCTTACTAACCGCCCAACAGCATCTGCGTTACCTACTCTGACAATCACTAATCTTTTAAGTAGGCAAGCCACGTCCGGCGTGACGGCTATTAACGCATCCCTCGATGCTATATCTCATGAGTTGGTCACAACACCGAGACCGAAAGTTCAGAGCAGGGTAACATACGCATCGATCGCCACGATAAAAGGCCTAAAAAGACACCCGTACGTCCATCGTCTGGACCAAACACGAGCGATGCGACGTCGTTTTCACAACGTTCTTTAGTGCCCGCCAAACAATCCAAGTTACCGGTCACAACACTCAAACCGATTTTCGCTAAACGGAACCACAGTGCGTTAACGGTTCTGTGCACTAACGTTCCTGAGTCCAGATCGGGCAAGATAAAGGGCAAGTTGGTAGATGATTGTAACCAGTGGCATTCCATCTGCGATGCCATTGGTCTTAGGCTTGACCCAACTGGGCTGCGACGAGTAGCATGCCACCAACATTTGGTGCACTACGGCGAACCCTGACTTCTTCGAGTCACCTTGAATTCAAGTGAGGAGCCAGAGATAGTCCTACTCTCAGCAGTTCATCATCACAACTCATCGAACGGGTTACGCATACTACCCTATATTCCTTGAAAAGAACGGTCAAAGGAAAAGAAAAGCATGCCGGCTTTTCTACGAACAAAAGCGCTCCAATGGAATGATAGAAGTCTTTTTGGATAGCTGGTTAAAGCATCGCCCCTGACCGCCTACCAAGATTAGGCTAGAGATAGCAGGCGCACGGTCACTAGTTTTTAGCACTTCATTGGAACATGCAACCTAAACAAAATATTTGCCTCCACAATCCTGCAGTTGTAGACAATATAGCATTATCGACACCTGACGGGACACGGAGACACACGAGAGAACATCTCGATCTGGGATGCTCTATGCTACCATCAAGTCTACCTGAAATTCAAGAACCAAAGACCCACGCAAAAAACGATTAGCGGCCGACCGACGAACAGTTGGCTTACAATTAAACACTAGTTTGTTGTCCACCCATACACCTATAACATAAAAAACGGTATCATGTTTGTATGCCAACGCCCAAGGTCTTCTTAGTAACTTGGCCGAACTTAGCGAACTCCAGTCGTCATAACCGCGGGATCTCAGTATGATTACGGAGACCTGGTGAAGCCTTGAGATAGCTGCTTCTGAGGTCAGTTTACCTGAGATGTCGCTGCTTCGGAATAACAAAGGTGGTAGATGTTGTGGCGTAAGTCTTTATTACAAGGTTAAGCTCCAATGTAAACTTATTGATCCCTCAAAGATTCGTGCCCCAGATTCACTTTGGTGTCAGTTATAGTTACGGAACAAAGACACATGTCTAATGGCTGTGATTTATCGGCCACCAAAAGCTCCGTGTGAAATGGACGCCAAAGCAAACCACGTGCTTCAGGTTGCTTTGAGCAAGACATACAGTCACATTCTCATCGCACGTGACTTTAATGGGCACGATCTGGAAATAGCGACGACCGATAGCATGCACTTCAAAGCCTGTTTACAAGAGGTGATCTCCAGCTACCCTCTGTGCAACCACGTGATCACTCCCGCCAGGTTTCGAACTAGTAACAAGCAGTCGATACTTGATCTTGTGCTCATCAACGAAGAACTCATGCTCGACGGAATAATTAGAAGCACACCACTGGGTAGCAGTGACCATGTGACTCTACTGTTTAACTATATGTGGTATGCGGAATATCTTGAGAAAGAGGACGAGTATATACGGTCACGCACTATCACGTGTTATTCGTGCTTGTTAAGGAGGTATCTTGGACTTTCTTAACGGAAAGCCCCCAAGAGTTGCCTGGGACACTTTTACAAGGACATTCACCACACTGGTAACGCACGTGTCTGAGCAGAAATCCTTCCGTCGTCAAAGGAGAAGGAAGTCGTTTTTGAGGAGCCGAACATGAAAATGCATGTCCTTGAGGGACTTAGCATGGAGTGCTCACAAGGACTCCCCGAATTCCGAAACCTGGACTGCCCATGTGGCACAGCGTAACTACTGTGTATGTTTGAACCGTGAGGACAAGCTGACGTATCAGCTGGAGTTAATGAAGAGATTCTGCACGAACCGCAAACTCTTATACAGCCATGTTAATGGCCTTCCGAAGGTGCAATGCGGAATTCCAGCACTGATCGCGACTGACGGATGCACGCGATCAGCAACGGAAGCAGCCGATCTCTTACGGCTCCATTGTTCACTGACGTGTCAGAGAGTAACAGGCCCAACAGTTATCCCTGTTTCTATTGTCCCACCATCAGCTTTATCCA